GAACTTTGCAATAGCTAGAGAGCAGAAAAAAATAAATTTGTATTGCCTTGGTTTGCGTGTTACAATGTGTGTTATCAAAGAAAAACCTCCCCTTTATATAGTAGGGGAGTTTCATTCCTTGTACATGTCTAAAAAGGTAAAAACATCCTTTCTCGTTAATTACTGATCCGTAACGGACATCGGGCGATATCCGCGCCGTGATATCCGGTTAGGTACAGATATCACGGACCTCTATTAGTCGTGCGTAAATGTTTGCCATATTTCTCGAGGTCTTAGAGCTCGTTTCAGTTCCAGGGAGCGTTGCTTTATCACGCCCGACGATAAGCACATTGTTCACCTTTTATGGGTCTCGGTACGAAAGACTCCCAACCTCGATTTGAGTCTCGCGTGTTCGTACCCTTCTTCCATCTTCTTCGCCAGAAAATCGGGGAATGCATTGTCCCCGATTTTATCCGTATAGAGGAACAACCAAACAACCAATAAGCTAACATAAACTTTGGATAAGACCCTTGACAAGGATTGCATATAATTGAAATCTTTCAACAATGAGACTGGATATGTGAATTGACTAGGCCTAAAGTGCCTTATTAAGCCAACTTTGGCTAAACATTAAAATTATTAAAAATACAAGTAAATTCAAATTTTAGAGTTAGTTGTCTAAGAATGAGTTTATATAAACTTATTATATGCATATATTTTAACTTTTTATAGATATAGTTTAAATCGAAATAATGGATTCACTTGCCATTGATACAAGCCGCTTAATCATATATACGTAAGAATGGATAAATTCTAGAAACAACCACCTAACATAACTTGATCTTGCCTATATATATGTAGCTGGATTAGTGACCTAATAATCAGCAAATTTTAGGAACTACCAATATATGGATAAGTGTTACACTTGTCATAAAATGAGATGAGATTATGGGTATATACTAATTTTAAAAGAGAGATTAAATATACTAAATTTCATCTTCACAAATGATTGGAAGTTTGGAACAGAGTTTGGCGATTGTTTGATACAAAATACAATATATAATCCACCTCCCGACCACTTTGCTCATGTCTTATGTACACTTAAACAGTTTCAACTTTCTCTCACCTAATTGTTATAAATATTGTTCTCTTTTGGTAGTTAGCATGTAAAATATGCTCATTAATTCTAGAGTATAAATGTTTAAGCTTAACTAAGGTTGAGAGCAATTTCTAAGTAGCTTCAAGATTTTGTCTTTTCTGAAATAATAATAGAGTAAAAGGAGATTTCGAAGTCTACGTATTTATTCTCCATTTGTCGTTATCCTTGTGGAAAGAAGACTGTGAAAACATTGATAATCATCTGTTTTTTGATGTTCTGGAATTGGCATAATTTATTAATCATATATATTCCATACATTGGATCATCTCATGAAATCCAACAAAATCTTCTTTTGGTTTGTCTTTTGTCTTCTTCTTTTTTCTGCGAATTTTCTCCTAGTTTTTCGACTTGGACTTGGTTTAAACTTCTAAATTGTTCTCTTCTGGACATCTTCACATAGTTTGTTGGATTCAAAGATTGCTTACTTCATCATGAACTAATTATGGAGGGATTATACGCATATTGTGATGCCAAAAGTAAAGGATTAATAAAATTATATATTGGTATTACTATTATACATATTCTTATTCAATATTGTATCTTGTATATAATACATAAATTTCACTACAAATCATGCAGGTATTAGTTATGTGAAATTTCATATTTGAATCTAGATATAGTATTAATAATGTAAAATCGTATTATAGTAATGCAAACGTTTTATCAGAAACCACATATTGCATTAGTAATTATAATTTTATGCTAGAATTAGTTTCTCTTAAACATTAATCAAGGGCGAAGCTACAACCTATCAAGGGTCAAAAAATTACATTGTGTATATAGGTAAAATATTAGGTTTTAGAGATATATAACATATATTGAGCACCTTTTATTGCATAATAATTTTTTATTTCTTTCAAGTTTGAATACCCTTGGAGAAATTCCCGACTTCGCCAATAACAGTATTGATAAGAGCATTGACCTCTTCGCTGTATCTTTTCTTTCCGGTTCCCTCCACAAGGATATACATAATGGGCCTCCTAGACTCAAAAAAAGGGGCAAGTGCACATATAGCCATTTTTATGGATGCTATTTAGAGATTAGTCAATACTTATTTTGTCTTGAAATTTTAAACTAAAAATATTAATTTTAATATAATTAAGAATATTTTTGTCCTAAAAATTTGAACTAAAAAACTAAAATTTAGGACGCACCGACTAATTCCTAAATAACAGCCCATTAAAGTGGCTACTTGATGTCATTTCTACCTCAAAGATGCAGTTTATCCCAAGTGTTTAGTACAATCGGCCCAAAATACAATTATGGAGCAATGATGGTTGCTGTCAGAAGCTTCTGGTGTCACGTCCCTCCCTTCATTGGCCCAAACACGTTTGGTTTTCAGTAAGATTTTCTAAAATATTTGTAAACAACTGTCCAAATGCCCATCGTTGATCTTTATATAATGTTAGCAAAACACTTTTAAATACACAAACTAGGTACCAACGTTTAGAAAAGTTGGACTTGGTACTAATAGTAGCCGTCCCAAAACTCAACCCATATTTTCAATATCATCTAATCTCCGTAGTCACAAGTCCAAAACAAAAAACAATATTAAAAAAAAATAAAAAATCAACTGCTCCAATTTTATCTCTATCGATAGAATTCTAATATCAGAATAGTGGATATAGTCATGATTCAATAGGTTAGGTCCACTTTTATTCTCGTTATGGACATTCTTCGTAAGCCCGAACTCTCGAGACGACTCGCCAAGTGAGCGATCGAATTCAGCTAATATGATATTACTTATTAACCACACACTGCCTCAAATCGCACCTTTGGATATCAATTGGACGCTTTGGGTTTACGCTTCGCTGTATGATCAGAATATACACCGTGAAGCGATTTGGCCCAACTGTTTGGGCTTACAAGAACACGAGCATAGAGATGAGCCCTTCCCTCTGTTAGGAAATCTACTAGAGATTATTTAATTCCTTCTTGCTAATTTCCTTTGGTTATACATATTACTAAACTTCCTCTTAATTCACAATCTAATAATTAATAAAATTGCACTTAATAATGATTTACATTTCAGTAAAGTGCATTTTCACTAACTAGAGTACCTACAAGAACATCTATGAAAATAATTTCTTAAAATTGTAAGGATCTTTTAGGTACTAATATAAAATTTTATCAGTAATTTTTGTATTATTTGATTTGTGAACTATTGCTTATTCAAATGGGTTTCTTGGTAAATTAATTACTGTAGGTAAAATGAGTTCGATTACTCGAAAGTACAAAACATCAAACAAGAGAAGTTTATCTCTCTATATCCAATATAATTGAAGAGGTTAGGGTTAAGATTGGTCACTTTACTTATGTACTATGCCTGATCAGTTTAAATCTGTTTATCTTTAGCCATAAACTTTAAACGGATTTAATGATGTTAACATTTGGAGAATTTCAAAGCAATTGAAATGTACTTTTGAAAAGCTTAATGTTAATCTTTAATGCTCTGCACCAGCCTCCTCCTCCTTATTCTTTCCCTAAATCTGAATGAAAACTTCAGTTGAGGATTTAATACTTTAATATTCTTAATCTTCTTTATGATTAATCTAATTACAACTTAGAACGCACCACAGGTTTCTACTTCATCGTCGTCATCATCCTAATTATTTTATTTTACTTTATTTTTTACAGGTCTAGAGAATCCTCCAGCTTCATGACCTGAGTGAGAGAGACAGGCTTGGACTCTATATATAGTTTTAAAAAAAAAACTAACAAGTCTTACAAGAAAAGGAAATAGAAAAAGGAGAGAGAAGAAAACGTTGAATAGACAAAAAGGATATCTTATTTAACCTAGTCAACATAATTCTTTTGAATTCAGATCCTCAATTTAATGCGCACAATCTTTCTTTTTGTCTCACTTGAACGTTGTATTATCAAATGATAGACTGACGTCTGAAAGTGACGACCATGTGCTTTGTCGGCCTTCTTAATCTACTTAGACTTTAATCGCTTCTTTTTCTTGCTTAAATTACGTAGAAATAAGTTTAACATATTCTTGAGCCATTTTTTTTCACCAAAAGATTAATAAGCTTACTTCATAATTCGATCACAGGTAGGTCATCCATGTTACAGTAGGTGTTGGGCAACCAGCTTGCACCAATTCAGGCCCAAAACAGCACACTTGAGTTGGTCAGACTATTTATTTTGTACTTAGCCTTTTGTACTAGTTAGCCATTCTTTGTTAGAACAGTATACATTACTAAAAATTCGCTATTTTTCGACTATCAAAATAGTCGGAAAGTAGTCGGAAAAGTACCTATTTCGACTACTTTCCGACTGATTTAGAGTAGTTGGAAAAAGGTAGGTCGGAAAATATTTTCCGACTACAGTAGTCGAAAATTGCCGGAAATTTCCGACTAACCTAGTGATCGATTCTTTTTCTGTAGTCGGAAAGGTTTTTTCGCCAAAAATTAGAAAAGGGAGTTATTTTCCGACTAAAGTAGTCGGAATTTTTTTTTTTTAAAAAAAAAAAATATTTTCGACTACTATAGTCGGAATATTATATAAATAATAATTAGTTATTAGTTATTTTTTTTATATTTTCCGATTACATTAGTCGGAAAATGCATTATTCGGGGCTCATTTTATGATTAATGTAGTCGAAAAATCATTATGCTGAGCACATTTTTCGACTATAGTAGTCGAAAAACTGGGTTGATTTTTGATAGGATACTGCCATTTTATTAGCACGTCACCTGTCAAATGACCAATACTATAAACAACCAATTTAACAAACCAATTCCAACTAAACAACCAACTCAACCAACCAATTTCAACTACACAATCAATTCCAACTAAACAACCTAATAATCAAACCAACCAATTTCAACTTCAACAAACAAACATTCAAATCCCATAATATCAAAACAAAATATTAGTTAAAGTTTAAATATTCAATATCAAGTCTAAGTAGCTAATACACATCGACACTAATATAATAAAATCTAAACATATATATACCACATAATCCAAATCTACCATGAAGTCTAAATATAAAATCTAAACATCCAAGAATAGTAATCAACCATAAATCACTACTACACATCAGATTTAGTCTCTTCATCATCATAAGAGTGGGGCATGTATTTTTTTAACGTATTTATCCATTCTAGCAATGTGAGCTTCAGCTGTTTCACATCGTTTCGACAACAACTCAATTTGTTTTTGCGTTGCTTCCATTTCTTCCTAATTTTGCACAGTAGGAGCTTCCGAAACTAAGGGTGATGGATGAAAAGAGGAAGGTCGTTGTATTCCAAGCCCGTAAACTCTTCCTTTGGATACACCACCTGCTACATCTGTCCATATTGAAGTCATATCATCAGGTGATGGTTGGATTGGGGTACCATCATCAGAAGTAGGCTGCGTCTGACACCATTCATCCAAGCTTCTTTGATATCCATCCTGAAATAAAAGCAATAAGGATTATATAAATAAATTAATATCAAAGTGAAAATAGTCTTAAAGTTATGATCTTACATATTGTTCCGATGCACGTGTCTCAACCTATCCTTCTCTTGAACCGTCTTTCTTCTTTTTCTTATGTGTCTCCGCAAAGAGCTCAACATGAGACACTGGTCCCCTTTTTAAATTTTCTTGCAAAATTAATAGGATATATAATTTGAAAAAAAGTTCAATTCTGTTTATCCACACATCTTCTCTTATCCACACATCTTCTCTTATCTAACCAGGCTTCTCCCTCTTTTCTCGAGCTTCATACAATGAACTTGAAATCATTTTTTTTGCTTTCTTCACGAAGACATCTTTTATTTTATTGTCATATCATTGTTCCCACACATACTTAGTTTGTAAAATAATTAATTTAAGTAGAGTAAAATTAGGTATTTGATATATAATTTAAAAATAAAGTTTATATGTACCCAAAACTGATTCCATATTGCATCTCTGATATGATATGGACTTTCTTTCCATATACTCCAAGCATCATCGTAAGTACCTTAATAGACTCTGTAACCATATGCGCGACAGTAAATGGAGGAAAAAACCTGCAGTAAAATTAACATATGTAAAATGTATATTCAACAGAATAAAAATAAACGTAAGGATTTCTTACCCATCATGCTCATTCGGAACAATAATCAGCCTATTATGTGCATCATATTGTGGAGTCTCTCTATCACTTCGACCCCGAGAAGCTGCTGGTGTAGCACTACCAATGGATGATGATGTTGGTGTGCCAGAGACTCCAATATTTAACCTAGATATGCTAGGTGTGCTTGATGACGGAGATACAACTGGAGTCGATGAAGTACGCAGTGCTGAAGAGCTACCTTGTTGACTAATATGAAAATCGGGAGAAGAATTTACATTTGGTATGGGAATAAAATTAAGGTTAGAGCCAGAGTTCGTGCCAACTGAAGACACATAAATATGGACAGGAACAGGTAGGGGCATAAAAATATAGATGGGAACGAAGTCGACTGAGGAGGAAAAGTAGAAGGAGGCCCCATAAGTGGAGGAGGAGAGTGACCTGTAGTTGGAGATTTTAATTGAGTTCCCTTACCCTTACGTCGTCGATGATCGCTACCCCCAGATGCCATCTACGTAATATAAGCATAGTAAAAAACATAAATCAAATCTTCAACATATTAGATGTATAAGAAATAATAAAAAAACATAAAAATTATATGATTAGGAAAAAACATAAAAACATAAAGAGATAAAATATTCAACATATTAGAAGATTAAGAAAATAAAAATCCTAAAGGAATAATAAAAACATAAAGTAATTCCTCAACAAATTAGATGATTAAGGAAAAATATAAAAACAAAAGAAATAATAAAAATATAAAGTAATTTTCAACAAATTAGATGATTAAGGAATAACATAAAACCTAACGAAATTATAAAAACATAAAGTAATTCTTCAACATATTAGATAATTAAGGAAAAATATAAAATCTAAAGAGATAATAAAAACCCAACAAGTCAATCATCTTCACTTGATTCATATTCATTATTAGATTCTTCTTCATCGCTTGTTCTATTTTCATCAAGAAATTCTTCTCCATCGCTTGTTTCATTTTCACCGGGTAATTCTTCCTCATCGTTTGTTTCATATTCATTGGCTAAGTCTTCCTCCTCATTTTTCTTGGATGTTCCTTCCCCATCATCATTTAAATTTGATTTAAGGACAAAAATATCAAATTCTTCATAGATGCCTTCGCTATGGTGCAATTCACCTGCTAATTCATCATCTACCAATACTTAAACACTTGAAATGTCATTCTGGTACGCTACATTCAAAACATCCTCGAATTCCACTCTACCACGAGTTTTATTTTAATAACCACCCTCCATCTGGACTTATTCTTGCACAAAGGATAAGGAGCGTAATACACTTGTTTTACATTTTGTGCAATGATAAATGGATCATAGAATGAATAATCCCTCGTGTGCTTAATTTAAACTATTTTGTACTGAGGGTGAACCTTCGTACCTATATTTGGTGTTGGATCATACCACTTGCACCGAAAGAGTGCCAACTTTTTCTTTGGCCAACCAACAATCTACTCGAGTTCTAAAATCTCTTGAACCACACCATAATAATCAACACCTTTCACCCACACCCCACTATTATTGGTTTTTTTGCCCTTAGACCATTCTTCTGTATGAAATTTGTATCCATTAACACAATACCTAGACATATTTATGACTCTAGGATCAGGTCCCAAAGCTATATCATGCAGAAATTGATCATTTACGCCATTAACTGGATTATGAACCTATATAGAATTAGAGAAAATTTAGAATTTTAAAATACATGTAATTAATTTGCAACTAACAAAAACCATGTTAAATATTAAGTAACACTTACAAATTTTCTAAACCACTTTGAAAACCTAGGATAAATAACATTTTGCCCATATATACCCACAAAGTAACTGTTCGACAAACTTATAATATTCATTAGTTAAAACAATGATAAATCTTGTATGGAACTTGGTAATATAAATATATATTTACCTATAATACGGTTGAACCTCGGGAAAATTCAATAGTACATGTGTTGTAGCTGACTCTAGTTCCTTCTCAGTCAAAATTTGCTTTGAACTACTTTTTGGACCACCTTTTCGTGGTTGATTGAATATGGAAAATGGTGGTGCTGAAGAATCATTACTTCCTCCATAGTCATGTCAATTGGGTCTATTTCTTAAACATGACATGTCATGTTCAAAATAATTTGAACAAAAATAAGAAGTTTTTTTAGCCAGATATGCCTCACATATCGATCCCTCAATTCTCGATCTATTTTTCATGGTCCGCTTACATTTGCCAATAATCCTGCATATTATAATTTCTTAGACGGAACAATATTTAACTAAAATAAAGGAAAAATGATTAAAAATTATTACCTCTTAAATGGATACATCCATCTACACTGAACTGGCCCTCCAAGTCGTGCCTCTTGCGCAAGGTGAATTGGAAGATGCTCCATTACATCGAAGAAACCAAGAGGAAAATTTTTTGCCAACTTATTTAAAGTTAAGAGAATATTACTCTCCATGTAAGTTAGATTCTCCACCCTCAATGTGCTAGAACACAACTCCTTAAAAAATAAGATTATCTCTGTGATAGGCTTCCATATTCTATCAAGCAAGGCATTGAACGCAATAAGCATCAATAATTCCATGAAAATGTGAAAATCATGGCTTTTCATTGACATCAACTTCCCTTCTTTCATGCCAACACACCTAGATAAGTTTGATGCGTATCCATCCGGCATACTCAAATTCTTATCCCACTGACAAATCTCTCTTCCCTCATCTATAGTGAATGTGTAACTGGCCTTGGGTTTCTGAATCTTGTTGTTCAAGTATGTAAGGTACAAGTCACTTCGCCTACAATATTCCTTCAAGTCCATCCTGGCCTTCAAGTTATCTTTTGTCTTGTTATTGACATCCATCATAGTATTAAACAAGTTAACAAAATAGTTCTTCTCAATATGCATCACGTCAAGATTATGCCGAAGAAGATTATGCTTCCAATAAGGTAACTCCCAAAATATGCTCTGTTTAGTCCAGTTATGGGTAACACCATAACCAGGTATCTTATTAGGCGATGAAGACTCCATTACCTTAGATAGATCCCTAACTCTGTTTCAAATTTCTTCTGGCAACAAGACTGAAGGTGGCTCTTCATAATCAGTTTGATTCTTCATAAATGCATTAGTGTTTCTCCTAAATTCATGATCCATTGGAAAGAAACGACGGTGACAGTCAAACCATGTGTTCTTACCTCCATGTTTCAAAGTGAACGCTTTTGTGTTTTTCATACAAGTCGGGCAAGCTAACTTTCCAGCAGTCGACCACCCGGATAGCATTCCATAAGCAGAAAAATTATTTCTAGTCCATATTAAAGCAGCACGCAATCTGAAGTTCTGTTTAGTTGATATATCATAGGTTTCCACAATTTGATGCCATAATAACTTTAACTCAACAATCAACGACTGCATGTATACATCAATCAAACTTTTTGGATTGCTTGGACCTAGAATAATGCAAGTTAGGAACAAATATGGACTTGTCATACAAACCTCTAGAGGAAGATTATACGGCGTAACAAACACTGGCCAACATGAATATGGTGCGGCAGAGACCGCAAATGGAGTGAATCCATTCGGAATTAAATGCAAATATTTTTGAATTTTTAAAAATTGGGGCCGGAACCGATGAGGTTTGACTACGTATCTCATATCCTGTGAGAATCAGACCCGCGCAGTTCAGTCAGTTTTGACACAACAAGGGAAACATTATTTTTTTAACTCATTTTGAAATGACTTTTCTTTTTCTCTATTTTTTTTCAAAATTTCGGTTGAGTTAAGAATTTTTCAAATAACTGGGTTTTTCAGAACCGAGTGAATTTTCCTTTTCCTACCTCGCTCTTGGTTTTTCTTGATTTTCCTCCCCTATTCTAGGAGTCGATCAGCATGCAATCCCAAACAAATAAATGCATAAATATCACGTAGGATGCATCAGGATAGTCTTTTATTTTTTGGGTACACCTGTCCTAGAAAGACCCAACCCCTGTGTTGAATCCCAAAGTCAAATGCACATAATGAAAACAAACGTTCCTACTAGGGATCCAGCATGAGGCTATGTTATTGTATGTTTAAAATCCTGGGNACAGAAGGGAGGCGTAAGGAGGCAGTTTATATAGTTCAAATAATATCAAAGCGGTAAATGAGCGGCAATTAGCACATTAGGCCCGCAAACACAGTAATATCAATTATCAAGAAAGCCAAGTATAGATCACATTACAAGCTCGAATTATGAACCCTGAACCAGAAGTTTTGGGTTCTTTTCCCCAGCGTAGTCGCCAGAGCTGTCACACCTCTTTTTGCCCCAAAAGATATATGTGTTATGGATTGTTGTGGGTTAAAGAGTTTTTCCAATTAAAGTGATAAATTTGAGTAGGGATTAATTTATTTACAGAGTCGCCACTTGGAATTGATTTTTTGGGTGTTCCAAGTCACCTTTTATTTAAATCCCTAGTCAAAGGAAGGTTTGACTCTATTATTATTGGTCTGCGAAAATAAAGTCCGGGTAAAGAATTCTATTGACCGGGGAGAAGGTGTAAGGCATTCTCCGAGTCCCATGGTTCTAACACGGTCACTTTATTGACTACATTTGGCTTGAATTAATTTTTGATAAACTGTGATTTATTGATTTTCATGCTTTATATATCCGCTTTTAATTATTAAAATATGGAATTATCTTTGAAACGAATCACGTGTGTGAATCCGTTTTGTTTATTGTGACAAAATCATGTCACGTGTACGTGCACGCAATTAATAGCATTTTTATTATATTTAAGCTTGTTTCGCCCAAAGTTGCGTGAATGCATACCTTGATTTTAGTTTTGGGAATCGTAATTATGTCACGCGAACGTATACATAATCACGATGATTCAATTAATTATGTGTACGCTTATTTTTTTTTTAAAAATGAAAAAAAAAATCACAACTTTCTTTTACTTTTACTTTTTTAATTTCCCACTTTTTTTTTATTTTTTTTATTTTTCACTTATTTTACTTTTTATTTTTTTAATTTTCACTTATTTTACTTTTCGTTTTTTTAATTTTCACTTTCTTTTACTTTTTTTAAAATATTTTTACCTACCTTTACTTTTATTTTTTAATTCCAACTTTCTTTTGATTTTCATTTTTTAAATTTCCACATCCTTTTACTTTTATTTTTTAAATTTTCCAATTTCTTTTACTTTTTTATTAAATAATTTCCACCTACTTTTACTTTTACTTTTTAAATTTTCCAATTTCTTTTACTTTTTTATTAAATAATTTCCACCTACTTTTACTTTTACTTTTTAATTCCATACTTTTAATTTTCCTATTATTGTTTTTCCATCCGAAAATTTTAAATTTTTTTTTTAATTTTTTTGGGTTTTTAATTTATTTTATTTTAAAATAAAGATAAAAAAAAACACTAATAGTAATAATTTACCATTTTAAATTATTTTTAATTTTTACCCTATATAAAAAAGAAGTCTAATAAAGCTAAAATATATATATTAAATTTCTAAAAATATTTACATAGTAGAAGGTGATAAAAATTCAAATATAGTCAAAAATTAGGTGCTCACATCTGCCCCTCTTTGCTTGGAAACATGAAGAGTTTTCACGCAAAGACTAGGTGAGCCATGTGACT